TGAAGTAATTGTAAGTTTATTTTTATAAAGACATGATGAGTGATTTAATTACTACAAACCATTTTACATTATCTCTCACCATGTATGAGAGATCCAGAGTTCCTTACATTTGCCAAAGCTTGGTTTTGTCAATCTTTTACATTTTAACTATTTTAGTGGGTATATAATAATATGTCAATGTCATTTTAGTTTGTATTTCCCTGATGAAAAATATGATGAGAACACCCTTTTCTATGTTTATTGGTTATTAATATATTTTATTTTGTGAAGTAGGTGTTTAAAGTTGCTCATTTTAATATGAAGATCTTGACTTTTATTATAAACTTGTTGGACATAAAAAATTAATCTATTTTGGACACAAAACATTGCAAGATATATGTACTGAGGGTATTTTTTCACAGCCTGTGGCTTGGTATTTCATTTTCTTGATTGTTTTTCAATAAGTAGAAAATTTTAATTTTGTTTAAGTCTAATTCATTACTTTGTTTCATATTTTTGTTACTTTTTATGTCTGACATAGTATATATATATATATATTTTTTTTTTACAATAGGTAGCACAGATATTTTTTCTATGTAAAACAAATTATATTTGTACCTTATAAATTTAGGTCCATGATCCATCTCAAACTACCTTTTGCATATGGCATGAGGTAGGGGTCTCAGTTTATCTTTTCCCAGACATTATGCAATTATTTCAGTGTCTTTTGATGAAAAAGCTTTCTTTCATATATTGAATTATCTTGGTGCTTTTTCAAAAATCAATAGATTATATATGTTTAGGTTTATTTCTGGACCATATTATTTTTAATGGCCTATTTTTCTATCCTTATGCCAAATGCATGCCATTTTGATTACTTTAACTTTACATTAAATCATAAAACATAAAACCAGATTGTGTATGTTCTTAAATATATTTCTTTTATCAAATGTTTTAGCTGTTGCAGGATGTTTGATCTTTTATATAAACCTATACAAATAATAAATTTAGCTAATCAAGTTTTTAAAAAATAAAAGCCTGCTGAAACTTTAATCCAGATTACTCTGAATGTGTATTTCAATTGGGGGGAAATTTACATCTTAACAGTATTAAATCCTCCAATACATTAACATTATATATCTCTCAATTTATTAAGGACTTAGTCAATATTACTAACTTATTCATTTATTCTTTATGCCATCTAATAGTAGATTCTCAATGTAGATATCCTGCACATAATTTGCTACATCAATTCTTAAGTACTGTATGTTTTTGATGTCACCATAAATATTTTAAATCAATTTTCTAATTGTATGTTGCTAATAAGAAATGAAGTTAATACTTCTATATTAATCATGACCTGTGACCTTCCTAAATCAATTGAATCACTTTCAGTAGTAGTTGTATTTTGTAGATTTATTAGCATAGGAAAGAGTTTAGTATATTTTCACTTTTTATGCTTTTACTTTTCCTTGCTCTTTAGATTTGGCTAGGACTTCCAATACTATGGCAAGCATAAGTGATAAGATCAAATATTCATGACTTCTTGATCTCAGTATAATGTTCTCTATAGGATTTTTACACACACAATTTAGTAAAAGAGGAAAATTCCTAATTAGCTAAGAATTTTTATTATTCTTATAAATGTGTGTTGAATTCTGTCAAATGCTTTTTTAATACATATGGAGGTGACTATTTTTTCATGTAATATGCTAATTGATTATTTTTCTGATTAATTTTTCACATGTTAAACCCAATTTGTATTTCTGTGATAAAATCCAGTTGTCAGGAGATTTTCTTTATGTTTATTTATTTTTTTCTTTATTTATGTTTATTTACTTTTCTTTATTTATGTCAAATACATTTACAAATATTTCATTAAGGATATTTTTGTATCTGTGTTCATAAAGGGTGCCATTTATGATCTTTATTTATGTTTATTTACTTTTCTTTATGTCAAATACATTTACAAATATTTCATTAAGGATATTTTTGTATCTGTGTTCATAAACGATGCCATTCATAATTTTCTCTTGCCAATTTTCTGTCAGGTTTAGATATCAGGGTTTTGGTGTTCTTATAAAGCAACTACATAATGTTTTCTCATCTATTATTTTCCAAAACAGCCTGTATAAGATTGCTATTATTGTTTTCAGAAATGTCTGATGAACATCAACAGTGAAACAATCTGGGGTGACATATTTTTTTGTAGGAAGTTTTTTAATTACAAATTTAATTTCATTTTTAGAGATAGGACAATTCAGGTTTTGTGTATCTATCATCTCATATAATTTTCAGTAATTCTTGTCTTTTAAGATATTTGTCTGTATTATGTATTGTCAAATTGTTACCAATATGCTGTCTGTAAAACTCCCTTATAATCCACCCAATATCCCTGAAAATAATTTGTGTAATCTCTTCTTTTTTTTATATATATTGGTATTGTGCATTTACTGTCTTTGTTTTTTTAGTAGTCTGGCTAAAGACATATTATTTCTGTTAATCTTTTAAGAATTGGTGTCTGGCTCATTGATTTTGTTTATTATTTTCTGTTTCAAACTTTATTAACTTGTATGTATATCTTTATTGTTTTTCACTCAACTTTGCATTTAATTTACCTTTATCTTATTTATTTTTAATTTTCTAAAGTGAATGTTACACAATTTTTTAAAACATTTCTAACAAAAGCACTTAAATAAATTTCTAAAGAAAAAATTTCTTCTTTTCCTAAAAAAGAAAAACATTTACTCCATTTTGCAAATGTTAAAATGTTGGGTTTTCATTACTATGTACTTAAAAACATTCAACAATTGTTCAATTGTCTTTGAGATTGACCTTTTGTAAATGTTATCTAGAAATATAGTTGTTTGCTTTTCAGATATTTAAGGTTTTCTAGGCAATTTAGGTAAAATTTTCCAATTTAATTCCATGTGATCAGAAAAAATTATCTCTGCATGTATAGATGTAGATAGATATCTCTATAGATTTTGCATAAATATTCTATTTTTAGATAAGTTTTTAATATATAAACATATGTACAATATATAAATTATATATACTATAGTATATATAGCATGTGTGTATATATTTATATACAAACACACATACACATAAACTTGATTATGGCATAGTATCTAGGAGAATGAATATTCTGATGTTATTGGGTGGAGTGTTCTATAAATATTAATTGTGCTGATTGTGACAAGTTGCTTGAGAACACTGTTTCAATTTTCTATAAGTTTAGTAATTTTTTCCCATCAATTACTGAAAGAAAAGTGCTAATATTTTCAACCTAATTGTATATTTGTCTATTCCTTTGGTCCTCTCAGATTTTGCTTTATGTACTTTTGAAGCTCTGCTATTTTGTATATACATATTTAAGATTGTTTTATCTTTTTGATAAACTGATAGTCTTTCTATCATTATGAAGTGACTCTCTTTTACTGTAATATGTTGTATCTTAAAGTTTACTTTGATGTATTTTATCCACACCAGTGTTTATAGGCTTAGTATTTCTTTCAGTTCAATTTTACAATCTGTTTTTTTATTGCAATGTTTCTTTCATTTACATTTAATGTGATTATTTGATGTGGATGAATTAACACCTACCACCTTGCAATTTGTTTTCTACTTGTCTCCTTTGTGTGTGTTTGTTTGTTTGTTTGGTCCTTCTCTATGTTCTCTATTTAGATTGATTAGCTATTTTACTAGTTTCATTATATCACCTGTATTTGATTTTTAACCGACCAAATTTTTATGCTTTTAATGATTGCTCTAGGAGTCATTATAGTCCACCATGAATATTCATCCTTCATTCATTACAGTCAGCCATGAATTCTGTTTATGCCAACACATGTAAGACCCTTATAAGACCTTTTTGTATACTTTCTTCTAAACTTTATGCTATACCATGTAAACATATTTTATGAACCACATAACACATTCTAATTTTCTTTTTTAAAATAATTTTTATTTGTATTTCAATAGTTTGGGGGGTATGGTGGGTTTTGGTTATATGGATAAGTTCTTTAGGGATCATTTCTGAGATTTTAGTGCACTCATTATCTGAGGAATGTACACTATACCACTGTATCCAATATGTAGTCTTTTATTTCACATCTCCCTTTCAGCCTTCCGTGCTGAGTCCCCAAAGTTCATTATATCATTCTTATCCCTTTGCATCTTCATAGCTTAGCTCCCACTTACAAGTGAGAACATACAGTATTTGGTTTTTCATTTCTGAGTTACTTCACTTTGAGTAATGGCCTCCAGTTGCATCCAAGTTGCTGCAAAAGAAATTTCCTTCCTTTTTTACAGGTGAGTAGTAGTCCATGATGTGTATTTACCACTTTCCTTTATCCACTCATTGGTTGATGGGCACTTAGGTTGGTTTCATATGTTTGCAATTGTGAATTGTGCTGCTACAGACATGAATGTGCATGCGTCTTTATCATATAATGCTTCTGTGGATAGATACTGAATAGTGGAATTGCTGGATTGAATGGTAGTTATACTTTTAGTGTTTTAAGGAATGTCCATATTGTTTTCCACAGCAGTTGTACTAGTTTACATTCCCACCAGCAGTGTAAAAGTGTTCCCTTTTCACCACGCTCACACCAAATTCTATTGCGTTTTGACTTTTTAATTATGACCCTTCTTGCAGGAGTAAGGTGGTATCTCATTGTGGTTATAATTTTTATTTTCCCGATAATTAGCAATGTTGAACATGTTAAAGTTATATTTTAAAACAATAAATGAACTTTTTAACATTTTCTGATATATTCAGATTTTTTCTTTTCACTACTTAACATCAATTGTTTTCTATAAATGTTTTAACATATCTACTATGGGTATTTTAATTATTTTTCTGCTAAATACAACATGTTTTCTCTACATATTTTTCTATTGACTATGGGCCATACTTTTTACCATCCTCAAATGTTTTTCATATACAAAAGAGAGAGAGAGAGATTTGATTATATAGTGTATTTGAGATTGAATTGTATTCTACTGGCAGGTAGATTATTGTTGGCCACTTTGATATTATGGAAAGCTTGGTTTTAGGTGTCTTTGGGACCTATATCTTGTTACTTCCTCTTAACACTAAGGCGTAACTATCATTCTTATGCATTAGGGTTCTTAATTTTTAAATGTTATTCTTCTGGAGAATGGATAGGCTGAGATATATAGCAAGACTATTTGCTTTAGCATAATCTGAACCCCAAACTCATATTCCCAAGTGCTGATCCATTGTTCAAATTTGGGTTCAGCTTATTATCTTTCCTACTGTTACTTTCAGCTGCCAGTTTCACTCTACATTTATAAAATCCAGTAACGAACCAGGAATTTGCAGATGCTTGTTTGCAGTTTGGGGGCTTCCTTTCTTTGTGTTTCCCTCCCTTTTCAAGATTTCCTTTTATTGTTATTTGTTTGTTTTTGTTTTGTTTTAGACGATATCACTGCCACAAAGGCTGGAGCATAATGGTGCAATCTCGGCTCACTGCAAACTCCATCTCCCCAGCTCAGGTGGTCCTCCCACCTCAGCCTCCCAAATAGCTAAGATTACAGGCATGCACCATCATATCCAGCTAATTTTCATATTTTTTGTAGAGACGAGGTTTTACCATGTTGCCCAGGCTGGCTTTTCAGGATTTCTATGCTTAATTTATATTGGCTTTGGAAGTCCTAAACTCTGACCTAAAAATATAAAACATTTATTTTGTATTTGAGTTTAATTCTCCATGCAACAGATAACTGATAATTTCCCTTACTAGAGAACTTAAATAAATGTGGAATTCACTCAGTAGCTTATCCTCTTTCAATGTTTTTATTCCTTGCTGTTCTTGTCTTTCATATTGGTTCTATTGAGTGCTTTAAAGAAGGATTTTTGAAATCATATGGCATGAAACACTGCACCTTTCCCCTGTTTTCTTAAAAAGAAAAGTTAAAACTAGTTCAAGTCACTTAATTCATCTTTCCTGAATGATTCTAAAACCACTAGAAAGTAAATTATCACTGGAAAATCATTGATTATGTAGACTTAGCAAACATAGGTAAAGGCACCTTGTTCCAAGACAAAAAAAAAATTAATGAAGAACATTTCTGATATGATTTGGCTTTGTATCTCCACCCAAATCTCATCTCAAATTATCATCCCCACAGTCCCCATTTGTCAAGGGAGGGAACTAGTGAAAGGTGATTGGATCATGGAGGCAGTTTCCCCCTTGCTGTTCTTGTGATAGTGAGTTCGTTCTCATGAGATCCAATATTTTTATCAGTGTCTGGCATCTCCCCTGATTGCTCTCTCTTTTACTTGCTGTCATGTAAGACTGCCTTTGCTTCTCGTTTGCTTTCTGCCATGATTGTAAGTTTCGTGAGGCCTCCCAGCCATTTGGAACTGTGAGTCATTTAAATGCCTTTGTTTTGTAAATTATCCAGTATTGGATATTTCTTTATAGTAGTGTGAAAATGAACTAATAAAATGTCCACGTATGAAAAGGGAGGATTTTGTATCTGTTGGGAAAATGTTACTGAAATGCTTAAAGAAGCAGGTGTCAGAGTTGAAATATATGGAAGAATAAGTGACATTTTACACATCTAGTATTAGAATATATATTATTTACTCAAGTTCCCAAGGACGTCTGTTTCTTTATTGGATAGCTTGACCATCCAAAATGAGGGTGGTTCATGTGAAGAGTAGCTGGAATTTCTAGATGACATTCAGAATTGCATTTCAAGGTTAAAAAAATATATAGTTCTACATGATTCATACTTCATAGGTTTTGCAGCGGGTCAGCTATTAGGATGAGGGCAGTGTTTTGAAAATAAAAAAAAATGATAACAATAACAAAAAAGTCTACATGGTCCAGTCAAATAAAAGAGTTAGGTAAACATTCATTTTTTTAAAATGGGGCTTATAATTTATCATACTAGAGGGCACAACTACATTTCAAGCATTACTGACACCAATTAGAAAGGGAAGAAAGAAAGATGCCTTTGCGAACACTCCCAGAGAATAAGGTATCAGACTGAAACATGGACTTGAAATGTCCAAACACCCATCGACTCAGAATGAATGCAGACCCAACTCACTCTCTTATATCAGATATCAAACATAAAGATTTGAATGGAGAAGAATATGATTTATAACAAAAGTAAATGGAAGATGAGCTCAGAACCAATCTGATGTATTTATTAATATCTGACGTATTTATTTGTTTTCATTGAAAGAAAACATTGGTCACAAAAGAATAATTTTAGCTAATATCATGATAATTCATTTTCTGAAGCTTTGCTTCTAGATAATGTAATAATCGAGTCACAAACCAGGACTTCCTGGGAATTTTGTGGGTTATAATGTACAAGTCCCTGCTTTCTTCAGTTATAAAAAGAAGGATAATTAGTAGCCAACTTCAGCCATAGCTACGGTTAGAATGTTTGTCTCCTCCAAACTGCATGTTGAAATTTGATCCCTGTTGCTGAAGAAGAGGAGGTATTCAGTTTAACAGGTAATGGGGGTGGGTCTCTCATAGAATAGATTGAAGCCTGTCCTCAGAAGTGATTGAGTTCTCACTCTATTAGTTTCCATGAGAGCTAATAGAGCCTCAATCTACCTTCTCTCTTTATCTCTCTCTCTTTCTCTCTCTCATTTGCTTTCTTTCTTGCCATGTGATCTCTGCACCTTCTGGCCTCCCTTCACATTCCACCATGAGCAAAAGCAGTCAGAGGCCCTCACCAAATGTTACTTGTCCAAACTTAAGCTTTCTAGCCATTAGAATTGTGAACCAAACAAACCTTTGTTCTTCATAAATTACCTAGCCTCAGGTATTCTTTTAGAGCAACCAACACCATGATGAAAAGAAATTCATTTCATTCTTGTATTTTTCATGCAGAAAAATCAGCTCTAGAGTGTTTTGGAGGTATTAAACTAAGCTTCAGATAGATTTACTGCTCTCAAAATTCAAATCCCCAAAATCTGCTTTGGCTGGGCTACACCAGGATGGAAGCCACCAAGCTGAACTTTGTACTTTTCCTTTTCACATCTGGGAGAACCAAACTTCATTCGGAAGGAAGAAAAAGAAAAAAGAGGAGGCGGAAAAGCAGAGGAGTAGCAGCAGTTTGAATGTGAATAAAGGACTTTTGCATAGAAAAAATACATTGTTCTTTGATTTGCAAAGAAAACAGTTATTTGTAAGAGGAAATAAATAAACATTTTAGAATTCTCTCCTATTTGAAGTATTAAACAGGAGCTTTTAAAAGAAAATTATAGCTTAAAAAGTAGAAAATGAGGCAAGAATTAGAAAGTAGGAGAATAATGGGAAGAACATGAAGATTAGAAGTTTGAACAAGCATTTTCATTGGGAAGGGGAGTAAGAGAGCATTCTTTTAGCATCACCAAAAGAAAAGATGAGAATATTTTGATAATATACTGTATGACATGGGATTTAAATTGTTTTTCTGTATAATAAACTGGTATTTCTTTTGAAGTTAATATTGATCTGACACATTTAACATGAAAGTTTACCTTTATTTGAGTTATATTTAACCCATTTTATTCTTTCTTTCAGAAAATATGCATTGAATCTAGTCACTGCACAACTTTCAGGGGATATGAGGACAATTAATTTTTGCCCAAATGGGCTTAACATGTAATGCTATGTTAACAAATTTTCTTTCAATTATCATTCACAGACCATGGCAACATATATATGAGTCTGTTCTCACACTGCTATAAAGAACTACCTGAGACTGGGTAATTTATTTTCTTAAAGAGGTTTAAGTCACTCACAGTTCCACCAGCTGTACATAAAGCATGGCTGGGAGGCTTAAGGAAACTTACAATTATGGTAGAAGATGATGGGGAAGCAAGCACATCTTATCAAGGCAGAGCAGGAGAGAGGCAGAGAATGAAGGGGAAAGTGCCACACACTTCGAAACAACCAGATCTCCTGAGAACTCTATCATGAGAGCAGCAAGCCGGAAGTCCACCCTCATGATTCAATCACCTCCGGTCAAGCCCCTCCTTCAACACATGGGAATTACAATTTGAACTGAGATTTGGATGGAGATAGAGCCAAATCATAGCAACATAAATTGCCTAATGAGTACGGCATTAATGTTTCTCGCTATAAATTAATAAATTTTAAACCAAATTCTACTGCCATGAGATTTTATAAAATTTTTCTCAGACCTTATCATCTGTGCAAGGTTAATTACTAAGTTTGTCATGTAAGGGTCACATATAAAAGCATATAAAAAAAATAAAACCTCTTTATTATAGTAATAACAGTATGGAATCATGCGTTATATGCTTATTATGAATCAGCAACCGTACAAAATTACCTTAATCAAACTATCTCATTTAGTAAAAATGTAAACACAATAAATCTGTGAGGTAAATATTGTTATTGTACTCATTACATACAAGAAAGGATTTTTAGGGATTATTTATTTTCTTGCTGTTATTCAGTAGCCTGTATAACATTCCTATAACTACTATGGTTTAGTATAGTTTGCTGCACGGAATGGGGAATTAAATAACAATGCTGATGAATCTTCAAAATGGCAACTTAAATCACATTGTTGATGAACCGGCAAAATCCTAGTAATTTTCATATGTCCACAAACAAGTAAAACTTGCTGCCAAATTTCACTCACATTATTATTCAGGTATTCCAGTACCCATCATTGGCTGATAAACTTTAGGCCAGTCTTCTCATTTGTATTTGACTTTTTCCCTGAATATTTTTATTATACGTATTTGAACTTCTTCTTATGCCATGTTTCAATCATTTATGAAAGTAGAGATAAAAATAAAATGAAAATGTTTAAATTTTCATATTGTACGTGTATATATTACATTTTTGTTTTAATGGTTGTATATTTATTCTAATACAGCTAGAATGAAAATCTACAACTAGCACATTAAATCCATAATTTCATGAGTGCTATTGTTTAGCTGGATAAAAAAAAATGTGACCCAATATGAAGTTGAGTTAAATACCCATCACATGGCCAAATATTCTTATTTTATCTGCAGGTCTTACTTCATCCTCTGATCACTTTAGATTAATTTGAAGCAACGTCTGCACACTCTATCATTTCACTGGTAAATATTTTTATGCACATATGTAAAAAAAATACTCAAAAAATAACCACCAGACCATCATCTACCTACAAATTGACATTAATTTGTTCATATAATTAAACATCTAGTTACAGTTCATATTCCCACAATTGCTTTATGCACTTAAAAATCATTTATTGTATGAATCACGTTAAATCGGATCCAAATAGTCATATATTTCAGCTAGTAAAGGGAAGAACCTGAGCCAAACACAGGGATCTTACCCTCATGATGCAGAGCTGTTTTCTATGCCTTTTCGTGGGATTACGGAAGTAAAAATCCCAGACTTGGAGGTAGATACAGACGTCTAATCTTTTTATTTTTAAAAATTTTGATATTTTAAAAGATGTCAAATGCTTGGACAGAGAAATTTAAAGTGCTTTGTTCAGAATGGCAACAACTGTCATAGTTACATAAGATGAGGCTTCTGAAATTAAGAGATGTTTAAGCTAAAAGGACTTAATAGATGACGGAGGTGGAGAGGTGAGAGAAAATTTTAGGAATCATGTTATTGTTTGAAATTATAGACTTTTCTCCATTTTGTGTTCCTAACAACAAACAGTTATCACTTTCACTGGGTGAATGCAAGACCATTGTTTCATGTCCCCATTTTACATTCAGGCAGCATGAACATGTGGAAAATTGCAGAGTTGTCATAAGGCATACCTCCCAAATTTTTCAGCCCAGAGCGAATATCAATTCCATTACTAAAATATACATTACTTTGGACACTGTGCTTAATTTTTTTAAGTCCTGGATTCCTTGTTATATGCCTATATCATAGCACTATTTGGGTTTGGGGCATGATACAGAGTAAATATTCCCTTAAATGTTGTCTATATTTATAGTTGCTTTGGGTCTCCTATTTAAATGGAAATGGGCTTTAATTATGAAGATATATTCTTTAGTTTCAATTTTTGCTGTTAAATAATCATACCTGACTATTCCATAAAATTGGATAAGCAATATATGTGTATGTATGTGTATATATACATATATATATATATATAATATTTAGGAATATAATACCTACGTGTGTATATATACATATTATATAATAAATTTTAAGTAATATATTGTTTTATTTAGTTCCCTAATTATGTGATTTGTATGAATTTTGCCTCCTGGACTTCTTTGAGGAATAAGTTTGTCAGATGTTCTTCTTGGAGGCCCCTGATATATGTACCAGCATTGCTTTATACAATATTTATAAAATAGAAGATAGCCAATAAATCTTTCTTGATTTTAGCAGCTAAAAGTGGTTGATCCTTCTAAATGTCCATGTCATTTTTGTACATGTTTTATGTACTTAATGAAAAATTACTTGTGTTTTAATTATTTGTACTTGTTTTATTTCACCCTAAACATTGTGTGTTTCCCAAACTAATTTATATATGTAAATACTCAGAAAAGGCGAGAGTATACTGTTAACAACTGCTGTAACTTTGTTATTATAATTAGTTATTCTTTACCAGGTGGAGACCATGTGTACTGCTCAGTACCTACCCAAGTGCCAAACAGTAAAAATAAAATTATTATAAATGAGGCATTCTGGATTCAAAAAATAATAAACTGACTTGGGCCAGCTTCTTAAATGTGCTCTTTATTACTCAGAATTGTATGGAATTTAGTAGATTTCTGTGGGAACGTAAGTACAGTGGACATAAGAGGAGTAAGGCAGTGAAAAGGTTAAGAAATAACCTCAGTTGCAAAATCACATAACATTAATTTCATGCATAATCATATGTGAGCAATGAATAGTATTGCATCCAATTTCAATTTATGGAATCAAAATCATGACTGGAGGTCAGCTGTCTAATCCTTGAGAATAGCAGCTTTAAAATGAGAGATGCCTGGGTAATAAAATGCCCATTATCTGCTTCTATCCATAGGTAACCTGCTTTTACCCTTCGACCCACGAATCTGCCATGCTGAAATATCTGTAAGAGTGAACGCTTCTGAAAATGACAAATTAGTGCCAGTGAATCAGCACATCCAGCAGTGAGATGTCACTTCTGCATGTCCTGCATTCAAAGGCAATGTTCCCAGAAATGGTAATCAGCAGAGTGAAGGACGTAAAGTTTTCTCATTCAGTAACTTTGGAGTAAGGAATAGAAATAGAACGAAAAGGGAGAACCATGCTTTAAATACTGTAAGTCTCAAGGAACATTTATGAACATCCAATTATTTTAAAAATGCATCATAATTTAAAATATACTGTAAACTCCATCTAGAAGGATATATAACTTCTGTCTCCTTCCTCTAGAATGTGAGAATAACATTCTTTATTATCAACAAAGTATCTTAATTCTTTCCTAAAACCATGACCATTTTTATAAAATGGCTCTTTTTTTTTTTTTTTTTTTTTGAGATGGAGTTTCGCTCTTGTTACCCAGGCTGGAGTGCAATGGCGCGATCTCGGCTCACCGCAACCTCCGCCTCCTGGGTTCAGGCAGTTCTCCTGCCTCAGCCTCCTGAGTAGCTGGGATTACAGGCACGCGCCACCATGCCCAGCTAATTTTTTGTATTTTTAGTAGAGACGGGGTTTCACCATGTTGACCAGGATGGTCTCGCTCTCTTGACCTCGTGATCCACCGGCCTCGGCCTCCCAAAGTGCTGGGATTACAGGCGTGAGCCACCGCGCCCGGCCCTAAAATGGCTCTTAATAGTGACTCTTAGAACTGTGTTCATAGCTTTCTTAAATGTCCTGATATCTAACGTTATTAATACATATTGATAGAGCTCTGCTTTCGCCCTAAACTCCACACTGATTACTATATAGAATACAATGATGAATTAGACAAGCTATGTTCTGTCTGAAAGTGGTAAAGTATCAAATTAAAACAAAATTCATAATGAGACAGGGATGCAAGGGATTTGCTCTTCAATGATTTAAGTGTCGTAAGTATTCCAAAACTTTTCTCTCTCAGCCTAGTGTGGATTAAATTCCCCCAACTAAATGACAAATCTGCACTTGGCTTTGTACTACTGTACTGGCATAGAATCAGATAAAAGTTAACCTCCCAAAAGAAAACAAAATTCTATAACAAGCTTTTCAGGCAATGATATTCTAAAACTTGTGAACACCTGAAAACTAGAACATTTTAATTTTTAATTTTGTTTTGTAATCTGATATATTGTTTGAAGTAATATCTAAAGTTTATCAAGCATCAAATGAAAATCAAATATAATACAAATCCATTTAATTTTTTCAACTTATATACTTATTTAGCCTGATTATTATTTTATATCTAGAAAAACCTTCACTTTATTATTCTAGGTGATATTCTAGGATATCACCTAGAATCACCTTATGATTCCTAGGATATTCTAGGAAAAACATTGTTCTTTCAGCAGATAATTTATGGATCATCTATCAAATGTTCAATAGGACCAGCCCTCCTACAGCTATAATGGGAATAACAAAAGATAAATCTAATGGCAGCCTTCATGATCACACACCGTGGTCTGCCTCATACAGCCAGTTTACGACAATAGTCCTGGAATATTTAGTAATATCATCCCATTTCATTGTCAAAAGTGTCCTAGTTTGTATGGTCAATCATTTGGTCACTGTAGATAGTAGAAGAAGAATGGGAATTGAAGTCAGGTAGATTTAAGACTAAATTCGGGCTTTGACTTTTACCTGTTTTGTGACATTGGCTTCATTTTCTTCATCTGGTAACAAGGATATTACCACCTAAATTTCAAGATTATTATTATAAGGATAAAATGAGGGTTTATAAAATACTTTGTTTCCCCATCCCCATAGGT